GACTTGAAATATTAATATATTTTGCTTTACTATAAAATAAATCTAAACAGACTTTCGTCGTAGCATGTTTAAGTATTTTTAATGGTAGTTCAAACATTGATCTGACTTCTATTTAAAATTTTATTATTCTATTTGTTGAATTTATCCGTGACCTACTGAATGCGGGATAGTTGAAAGTTTCCAACTGTTATTCCAGTAAATGGAGCCGCGGGATATGTTTGTGAAAAGCAAACGATACATTGAATACGAGATAAAGTTTAATCATTAATATAAATAAAAATCAATGTTTATTTTCTATTTGTTTCGTAACTAGATTGTCGAAACATAGGTTATTCTGAAAAGATATTATACAAGATAATTTGTATCTAAACTTATTATAAAATATGTATGTACTAGCTTTCGGTACTGGAAAAAAACAAAAGTGAGTAGCCTATGTGTTCTTTCAGAATATCCTCTACATCTATGCCAAATATCATCAAAAACCGTTCAGCCGTTTAGGCTACAAACTCTAAACCTGAACTATTAGGACATAAAATTGGTTCCAACCGTCCTCTTATCGCAAAAGTCGGCCGGATGAAACTTTTTATTCTCTTCCAACATGGGGACAGAGCGGGGTGACGGTTGGGAATTATTCCCATGTTGTATGTAGGTCCATAGCTTTAACTTTTCTGACAGAACCAAACGCAGTGTCTCTGACTGGGATTAATATACATATTTGATTACTCTATAGTTCGTAAGGTACACTCAAAGTAGCTTTTATTTTCATACTTTCTATTTTTCTTTGGGCTCTATGCCAACATATGAGTACAATTTTAATTCCTATAATAGAAACATTGCCTTCGGCTAATTCAAAACTTTTAACCTACTTTGTAATGTTTGTAGTGTAGATATACTTTTAGAATGTAGATAATAATAACTTTGCTATGTTCGGAGAGATAAAATTACTATTTACATACTCTAAAAAGACAGTAACATTTAACGCATCGCAAGAAATACAAGTTCACAATTGTATGATTTATTTTTATATCTATTTATGATGATGATAATGTATTGCTTGTTATATTAGTGTAAAGATTGCATGTGGATGGCTACAAAGATAGAGGAAGATCGAAGAAAGTATGGATGGATTGTGTAAAGAGGGTATGCTTAAGAAAGGAGTGCATTCAGATATGACGGCTGATAGAGATGTGAGATGGAAGATGTGTGATGGAAGAGCAGCACATACTGTGCCGATAAGTAAGGGATAAGGGCAAGCAGATGATGAGTCATTACACTAATTATTAACAAATTTATGGTTACCTATAAATTGGCATTTTTTTAAACTCGTATGTAAACTGGTGAAAAAAAAGATTTTCCTGCATTATTGTTTCTAAGTAGATTTAGTATTCTTTATTTTCAAAGAATTCATTTCTAAATACCCTGTTTTTAAGCACGCACAATCTAAATGACTTTCATTCATTGCGACGGCCCTACGAACCCTTAAGGTGCTTGTCCCCTACACTTCCCTTCCACTTCTTACGGTACTTTGCCCCTTCCTTACTACGTATATCTCTTGGTGCAATTATTTCATCCTTTCATCATTTTAATACTAATGTCTTATACGTAGAGAATGTTAAAGTGCGTGTAAAAACATCATTTTAGAAATGTGACTGAAGCAAGTTCAAACGTAATAGGGTTATGTCTGTTTCTTATTAAGAAGAAATTGTATTTGTATTATTTAAATATTAGATGTATTTTAATTGCATTTTCAGTAACATTCTAGGAATAGTATGATATTGTACTATTTTAATTATATTTTTTAATTTAATTTATTGAAAATTTTAACAAACACATTTACAAATTTAAAATTATAGCCCCCCAAAAACCGTATCTTTGGATTGTAGGATTGGAATATTATGTAGAGTGTAGAAGTGTAGTGTGATCCAACGTTCATGGACATTTGCAACGCCAAAAATAACCGTAAATACATTGCCGGAAAGTTGTAAATTTTTATCTTCATAAGTATCTCATAAAGGATCTCAAACGCAGAAATGATTTAAATTAGTAGTCTAGAAGAGACTCAACAATTTGAGGTACATCCAACATTTTATTTCATGTTAAATTTTAAGCGTAATTGTAAAGTGTTATTGAATGCATTTCGATCGAAAAAACTTCTCTTATTTTCAGTACCTGTAAGCGTGAATTTTTATACGATCGCGGTAGCGATTGCTTTCTTTCATAAAAAAATAAAATGTGTTTAAAACATGGGTAACAAACAAGGTAATAATAAAGTCTCATATATCGACCGTTCAATACTTTGACTATTGAGGAACGGACTAGGCATCCGCAATTGTGTTAAATTAATTGTACTAAGTTTGGTGGGTTTAAGTAAAGATGACAATCACGCAATTATCATTATATTTAAGGCCCTAATATCAACAAATAAAATATGTTATCAGAACATGTGATATTTTCTCTGGAATTTCGAAGTTATAAATATGACGACTTTCACCAGTGAAGTTGACGCTTTCTCATTGGTCAAAATATATTCATTCAAAATTACATTACTAATCGCCAACTACCATAAGTTCCCTATAGGTCTAAATCACTGTGAGTTGCATCTACTATGTATATTTTGACATGTTTTCTCTATCTTTTGACACAATACGTGAAGGACGACAATATATGGTATGCATGAGTCATACTAACATGCAATATTTAAGGGTAATACATGTACTGACTCCGTTTATACAAAGCACAAGCATTTTTCTTTAGAGACAGGATTGTGTGACAGATCCTGTACCTTAAATGTCAAAGGTTCAATAAAAACCTAACTGGTACACGTAACATTAACAAGAGCAATCGGATTCGTCTTAGCCACAATAAACAGTAAAAGTAATCACCTATTGTTCCACAACCGCTTCAGGCATATCAGACATATTGTTGTGGGACAAGGCATTAGCTCAACTAGATGTGGCAATATGATTTCACGTCGACAATATTTATATGTTGAAAAATTTATGAAACTATAGAGATATTAAAAAACCAGCAATAGTATAAATAGAGAAGGGGTAAATTCATTTAAAATGTTGAGTTTTGTTTTATTTTTACAGGTAAATGACATATTAAAAGCATTAACCAAAGATTCTCTTGAATACCTGAAGAGTGTATTTTTTAACTTTATCGATATCTAGATGCTTATATATATATACGAAAGTGATAACATTCTGCTAATGAATTTAAGCAGCAAATTACAGCAAATTTCATCAAGCCGTATTTTGAGGATTTTTTTTCCGGTGAGCCGCTTCCAGTATCTATATTTCAACTCACAAGAAGATAACATGTATAACGTTCAGAAAAACAATAGAATATTTATAGCTTTACATACTTTCACCGATGTACTTTTTTATGATTTGTAAAAAAAACTGCAACTTTTCTGCAATATTGTTTAAAATATGTACTCTTTTATATCACAACGCTCTTTGTCGTTAGCGGTGTTGGCAGAGTTCCAACTGTGACTATCGTATGTTAGAAACTACTGATATACTTGTATTAATATTTTAAGATATTTTAAAAATTACTATTGAAACTAGCCCGCGACCCCGTCCGCGTGGAATTAAAAACAACACAAAAGTGAGTAGCCTATATGTTCTTCCAGACTATCCTCTACATCTATACCAAATTTCATCGAAATCCGTTCAGCAGTTTAGGCTACAAAATCTAACAAACATCCATCTAAATGTGCGCATTTATAATATTAGTATGATTTATTAAAATATTAAAATTAAAACTAGCTTCTTACATCATATTTTTAAAATAATAAGTATTGTTGGAAGGTGAGTTAATATAGAGGGATACAAAATTCGTTAATTTTTCAAGTTCTAATTCTTAAAATGAAAACCAGAGTACCGTATGCTAGGATGGTATATTTAAAACTTAATACTATGTAAAGAGGTTTTAACAGTGGTAGAGCCCGCTTTTACATCTTCGCTCAAATGTGCCGGTTCGCCCGGTGTAATACTACGACCAAACAGAAAACAGGCGTGAAGTGGAAGCAATTCCGCGTTTCGTCTCATGAGTGTAGTGCCAGGGGCCTAATTTTAGTCACTTCCCCTTTCCACCCTTTTCTTAAGTGGAGAGGATGGGAAGGAAAAGGGGATTTAACGGTGGAGGAGATGCATAGGAAGGGGAAATGTCCTCTTTATGTGCGTCTCCTGCTCCATCAACAACACATCTGCAATTGCGGATGTCATGGGCAGCGATCGCTTTCCATTTCGGTGGATTCAGGTGGCCGCTTGCTTGTTTGCTACCATGTATTATCTAAAAAAAATGAGATATACCAAAACTCTTTCAGAAGTGACTTTTAATATTAGGAGAGACACGGTAGGGTTTTGACACGCAATTGTGATTCGTGTTCGTAAGGTGTGGCTAAAGCTCTCACACAACAAGAACAAACACTAGCAGTGTTCATGTATAGATAAAAAAAACATAATAGCGCTTTGTTCTAAAACAATATTATCAATTTAGCCCGCAGCCGAGTTACTTGTATTCGATGTAAGTACAATCGGGAAATCTAACGGTGTTCCACTTTAAAGCGTCGTTTGAAACTTTTGTACAAATTGAGATCATAATGCCAAACAGTAACACGTCGTTTGTGGAACTTACTGCTACCTAATTGGCAAGAAAAGACGGAGTTTCTCTCATCTATACTATTATAATATAGCGTAAACACACAATTCTTTGTTGCCTAAGATGTCAGCAATTACAGCATATTTTTGAAAAAATCTTGTTTTAATAAAAAGCCCTACATACGTCACGTTTTAGGCTATATATTTTCACGCAATAAGCTTATGGGGTAATATTTTGGATAAAAACCTTAATATGGGAAAGAGACCATAAGTTGCTGCCATCATCAAAGAAGCAAGAATGTCAAAGTTTGTCATGTCATGTCATTTTGACATTTGCTATTGATAATTTGACAAACGTAAACAATAAAATAAATTTTCACAATTTCATGCGGATGAAGCCACACAGGAACAGCTAGTTAAAAATAATGCAACTTTTCTAAAAGTACAATACTTCGGATTGCCTCAACTATATGTGTTTATATTAATTTTAGACTGGAAAATGAATGTAAACATCGGTATTTTCTGTTTTCTCGTTTTTAGATTTTAATTTAGATTTTACACATGTATCACATATAGTTGTAGATTCTACACTACTTAGCTATGAATAGTATAGACGTCTGAAGTATCTTAGGTCATTAGATGATGAGAATAAAGCATGTATTGCCGTTATTCGGTAAATAGCTATTTCTAAATCTTTGACTCAAAGGCAATAGAAATCGATATATTCGATAAATCGAAAGTCATCAAATTTAATTCAAAAATGTTATCCTTTTTAACAAAGAAAATCTTAAAGAGCTAACAAAACCTTATTCCAACTAAAGCACTCATATGCGAAATGATCTTCACCGGCCTCTAACAAAACGACTAGTATTTTTTGTTGTTAGTACAAATATTTTAAATCTAATTGCTACCGGATATTCGACCTTAAAACGTAACACATAAGAACCACATCGAGTTTTAAAAATGCATATAGATTTTTGCAACGAAGAAATGGGCTAGGTGGCGTATGAAACGACTCAGGTACGATTTTTTCCAGTGCAATTCGATTGGGATTGCATCGAGTAATCGAATACACCGAGCGATTCGGCATCGATTGGTTTTCAACTGTTGATAGTTAATTTCGACTGTCATTAATAAGGATGTTTGAGCTTCGAAAGCTCTTCGATACGATTGTAAGCTTTGTTTGAAGTCGGTTTTATCGTATGCTTTGAACTGTTATGCCAGTAACATTTATGTTCTGTTACTTTTTCTTTTATTGTAATTAAAAGTTGGGAAAAATCTCCGTTTTTAGTGGAAGTTTTTATTTAGTACAACGTGGCATTTTTGCCTAGTCCATTCCTCTATAGTCAAAAAGTTATTTTTAAGTTGACTGGCAACATTTTTGTCATTGTCAGATTGTCATTGTTTTGCAATATGACAGCGTCAAATGTTAAAATGATAAAGCGAAATATTTAGAAAAGATATATGTTTTTTGTTTAATTCTCCATCAAAATTACAGTGAAAAAAATCAGCATATATTAACAGGCAATGCAGTTGAACATTTTAGATGACGAAACAGATTATAATTGCCAATGTTGTGGTGAAGAAGCACTTCAAAGAAACGAGCTTGTAAATTCCAAAGCAACGACTACAGATCTTTATTTTATTGGTACAGTATGGATGACCGCAATGAAATCAGCTCTGCTCGGCGCAAGCTATTTAATACCAGTAGTAGAAGCTGCAAATCCACCTCCTCCTCCACCTACAAAGCCTCCACCTATGAAATATCAAGAACTACCATTATATAAAAGCCCACATAATGAGTACAATGAATATGTTGAATACAAAGATAAATGCGCCGAACGCAATGTCAAAGTGATGCGTAGATTTTTTTTGCCTTATGTAACAATTTTAAGGAAAGGAGTACAAACAAACACTTGTAAATTGGTACTTTGTATAAGAGACGGTGTTTGTAGTATGAAGAAATCTATATGTGAATCAAAGGAACAATTCACAGCGACAATGAGAGATAATGAAAATATGACTATTAGAAGGGGTGTGGTTGTGGCTGGAACTGGTATTGGATATTTATTAGGAGGTGGCCGAGGTATACCGAGACGCATATTCATGACAGGTGCTGGCGCTGCCTCAGCTGGAGCTCTCTGTTTCCCTAAAGAAACTGATGAAGCGTTTAGAACTTTTACATACTACAGTGGTAAAACAATAGTTCGAGTTGCAAATTTAATTTGCCGCCGGGATTTCGGTTGGAGAGAAAGACTACCGTGTAAAGATGATTTGCCAGTTACTACCGGTAAAATTATAGGTCAATGCCCTCCTAAAAAGAATTGACACTAACAGATGTACAAGATATAGAACTTGCATTTCCCGTTATAAAATCCTTAAGATCTGTAAATTCGAGTGCGTAAAACATTTTAAGAACTAATAAATAAATAAACCATTAATTTGTTTATTTTCTTCCGATATTATTAATTCGAAGGGGGCTTTGAATCAAAAGATAAGTAAGAACGGTGTCAACATGAGTGTGTCATCAATTATCATAGTCAATTTGAAATCAGGTTTAAGCAAGATAGAGCAACGAACTATTCATTTATTGTTATCGGAACAAGGTTTCTCTAGGGAAGTTAGCGTATGGTCTAAAAATAAAGCATAATAATTATAAGTATGGTAATGTAATACTCATTAATATTATTCATGTAGCAAAAGTAAATTCACAATACCACAAAAAACTGATGATTTTTAGGTTATATTCCAAAGAATAATGACAGTCGATTTCATTTAGAGAAGTCACCTTCGATGGCGATTTAAATGTCGAGTCCAAAAAAATATAAGTCATCTATACTATTATAATAAAGCGTAAACACACACATCTTTGTTGCCTAAGATGTCAGCAATTATAGCATATTTTTGAATAATTCTATTTTTATTAAAAAGCCCTACACTAGCGTCACACTTAAGGTTATATGTTTAACGGCATTAAACTTAAGGGGTAAATATTTTGGATAAAAACCCTAATGTGGGAAAGAGACCATAAGTTGCTACCAACATCCAAGGAAGCAAGGTTGTCATGATTTGTCATAATGTCATGTCATTTTGACATTTGAAATTGATAATTTGACACATGTAAACAACAAAATAAAATTTTCATAATTTTATGCGAATGAAGACGCACGGGAACAGCTAGTAGTGTAATACCACAAAGGGCCTTTTGTCCATGTCATGAATGTAACAAAAATCAGCTTAATTTATATTTAGTATCTATCGCTTCTAGCTTATGACATGACCCTACACCGAATTGTAACGCCCTCTAGCATGATGGCCAGTTTAAATTTGTGGACTTAGTGAGCATTGGCCCGTGAACCTTTGTTGGAGCTATACGGTTATGGACGCAATCGGCCATTGTTCTTTATTTATTTTGACAAAGTCTTAGTATTGTTTCCGTTAGTCTCGATTGTTAAGTTTTTTCGGCCAGAACGATTCGTTACAAGTTAGATAAGAGCGGTGCTAAATACTGTCGAGTTAGTTAACATTATAATTATTATCCATAGCTAAATATATATCGCCAATGAGGAGCTCTCAGCCTAAAATAAGTTGTTTTTTTTTAATTGCAAAACCAGTGCTTGACCACTATCCCACCGAGACTAAGGTGAAGATATGGTCGAAGGATGGTACGCGCTAGTTTAGTAAGTACCGATTCACCCTGCTAGTTAGGGGTATCTAGACCATAGTCAACTACGCTGGTCTATTGCGGATTGGTACAACACGTGTCTTCGACGTTATGTGTAGGTTCCACCTCTATAACACAATAATAGCTAATACAATTACAAGAAAGTAATAATTATGAGTGTCCTCAGTAGGAATATCTTTGCCTATATTTAGGAAACTTGATCTGCTATCATACTAATATTATAAATGCGAAAGTTAAGATAGATGGATGGATGTTAGGGTTTGTAGCCTAAACGGCTAAACGAATCTGGATAAAATTTGGCATAGATGTAGTACATAATTTGGATGAACACCTATGTGTTCGTGTGAATTAAAAAAAAAGTAAGTAGCCTATGCTACTTACTTTTATTTGAATTCGTCGCGAACGGAGTCGGGGGCTAAAGCTAGTATATTACAATGATAAACGTAACCGTTTCTATGTTAGTCGTTTATCAGCAAGCATATTAGCATAGGTATCTATATTTAAATTGGGTTAATTAATTTAATTTATGTCTACCCGTTATTTTATTTCTTTCACTGCTTAGATACCAAGGGTTAACTGATAAAATAGTGTTGAAGTAAACGTATTGAAAGGTTTAGACCTTTACTAGCTGTTGTCCACGACTTCATCCGCGTGGTATTGAAAAACATACGGACTATATAAATAACAAAAAGCTACGTATCCCTCGGGGACCGGACATTTCTCGGGGATGAACCGTATCCCATGTGTACTCCAGACTTTGTTTTATATCTGTGCCAAATTTCAATAATATATGTTGAACTGTGGCAGAATTATCGAGTAAACATTTAAAAACTAAATTAATGAATCCCACGGGAACCGTAACAATTCCCGGTATAAAAAGTAGCCTATGTTTTCTTCCAGACTATGTACTAAACCTGAGCCAAAATTCATGGAGATCCGTTCAGCCGTTTAGGCTACAAACGCTATCAAACATCCATCCATCCATCGTAGCTTTCGCATTTATAATATACTAGCTTTCGCCCGCGACTTCGTCCGCGTGGAATTAAAAAAAACAAAAGTGAGTAGCCTATGTGTTCTTCCAGACTATCCTCTACATCTATACCAAATTTCATCGAAATCCGTTCAGCTCCAAAGGCTACAAACTATAACAAACATCCATCCATCCATCTAAACTTTAACATTTATAATATACTAGCTTTCGCCCGCGACTTCGTCCGCGTGGAATTAAAAAAACAAAAGTGAGTAGCCTATGTGTTCTTCCACACTATCCTCTACATCTGTACCAAATTTCATCGAAATACGTCGAGCCCTTAAGGCAACAAACTATAACAAACATCCATCCATCCATCTAAACTTTAGTATTTATGATATAAGTAAGTATGAAGTATGATGTGCTTATTAAAAAAATTAAGCAATGTTTTGTAATCGCATTTGAAGATGTATAGTTTCACAGAAGAATTTTGTTAACTCGTTTTCCTCTTTTTATAGTCAATTTAACTTGTTTTCTGATTACAATCTGTTGGAATCCAAACTATTCTAATGTATGTTAAGTATACAGAATGTTTCATATTTCATTTTTTTATTCCCAGACTCTGTCATTTTGCAATCTCCGACAATGGCCGCCACACTTTATCCTCCTTTCGTCACTTGCGTTTATCTAAAATCTATGTAACGTCCATAACGTAGTCCATAAAA